ATTATAGACTTTGGTTTGTCTTGCCTCCTACTCTTCCAGTTTCTTCCTCGTGTTTGGTTGGCAAAAGATCCTTTTGGATATATGGCAAGTCCTCTTGCCATTGCAACATGGGTTGCTGTGTTTCCCGTGATTGTGGCTTTCATTGTCCAATACTTTGATGAGAGTATGAACAAGACTTACATGGGTGTTGACGGATTTGTTAGTAAGAATTTTATATAATGTAATGTAAACGCTTTAAAACACGTGTCTAACTTCCTCTGTTATCTTCTAAAGGTCTATGTCTACCCATTACGTTTCGTTCGTGCTAATTTATCCGTACAAATATGTTTTACTCCCATTAAAAGTTCATTGTTTAAGATGTCTAAACTTTTGAGGAAAGGTCTCAAAATAGGTAAGTTTTCTATTATTTTTATATATTTTTTGATAATTTAATAGTATTTTTATATAAATTTCTTCAAATTAATTAGGCACTACGATATTATTCACATTCCTCACTGTTGCTGCGTGGATTCATATTATAACTTATAAACAATATGAAAAAGATATGTCTAATAATCTATCTGATGTAAAAAAACTCGATAGTAATAAAAATAATACGATAAATTATCTTGATGCAATTTGGTTCACAGTAGGTATGTAGCAGATATATTCCAGTGCATATTAAATAATCAATATTATATATTCTTATTATTTAATTTTCTTAATAGTAAGCTGGTATGTGATAAATTTATTCAAATGATAATACAGTAATAACAAATGGTAATAGCATTTATTTATTTATTTATTTACACGTATTATTTTTAAATATCTGAATAGTACAAACGGTATGTCGACAAATATCACGCCAGACAATGGTTTGATTAAATTAGTCGTTCTATATATTATGGTAATGGGCGCTATATTTATGTAAATAAACAAGAGACCGAATTTCTTTTCATTTTTTTTTTTCTTAATCAAAAAATATATGTTCAACTTATATTTATTTACTTTATTATAGACCAACACATTTAACTGAACTTATTAACTTGATTCAGCAAAGATCAAAATATGACCATTCATTTAAATATGAAAAGAATTTAGAACATATAATAGTCACTGGAAATTTTGATGCAATGAGTTTATTTGAATTTTTACGTGAATTCTTTTGTCAAGATCATGGAATGACCACAATGAATACTATTGTTTTGGTTCTGAATCCGGAAGAGGTAATTAAA